CTCCACCCGCTTCCTTGCGGTTAGGTTCTTGTTAGAACTAAAGGCTTTCGACGAGAACCCTAATAGCTCTTCTTCTTAGTGGCTGAACACCCTGGCAGTACCCGTCCATCAAACTCTAATGTATACACCACCAAAAAATAGTTCCATACTGCATCGGTCGTCGCGTAAGATAATCAGGACCGCCCTGTCCATTGCATCGAGCGGCGTGGTTAGTGATAAGTGGGCTACTCCTCAGATTTCTCAACCTTTGTCGAACTCTTTGTCTTTCGTACCCAACCCTCGCCTTTTATCCCTTCTTCTAACCCGTAACATTCCCTCGGACAACTTGTTCGTCACTCGCCGAAGTTCGTCACCAAGTAGCCCGGTAAGTAGTTCTCCTAAAAATAGAGTACAGATTCTGAAGCCCCATCAAACACTGAATCTGGAGGCCTTCAAAGTGAGGACTCTGATGCAGTTAGATCAACAAGCGTGTCTGGCGCGTGCAATGGACTCTTTGGGGATTGATGTCTGCTGCGTGTCGGAGACTCGAATCCAGGATCCTAGTACTACATACCACTTAAGTGCACCGGGGTTGTTTTCGAGTTTCTTCCTCCGCACTTCAGGTGATGACGAAGCCCGTTCAGTAGGCCAGCGTGGTATAGGCATTGTAATCAACAATATAGCCGAAGCCGCACTACTCGATTGGATCCCAGTCAACAGCCGCTTATGTGCGATGCGGCTCCACGGGTCTATCAGCGTCCGGAAGGGAAGCAACACCAAAAGGTGTTTATTAATCATTTCAGCGTATGCACCGACCAACCGTAGTTCTGACGCACAAAAGGACGAGTTTTATGATAAACTCACCGAATTCATTCGATTGAGTCGAAGATCCGATATAGTTGTTCCTTCAGGCGATTTTAACGCTCAAGTTGGAAATCTGAGCGCATCGGAAGCCTGCCAAGGCGGCCAATGTGCTCTGCCCTGCCAGCGAACAGATAATGGCGATCGACTTCTTCAGTTCTGCGCAGATCGTCATCTGTTTCTATCCAGCACCAAATTCCGACACAGCTCTCAACACACAGCAAAGTGGCGCTCAAATTCAACTGGCACGCTAACTCAGATCGATCGCATATCAGTAAGCTACCGTTGGCGTAGCTCAGTACAAAACTGCAGGTTCTATTGGACCACCTGCGTTGAATCTGATCATGCGTTAGTTTTGATGCAGTTCACTGTCCAACTCACTGGTTGCAGAAGATCTCACCATATTCGACTGGCAGCTCATCGTTTATCTGACTCAGCCGTTCGTGCGCGTTTTGAATCAGAACTAGGGAAAGAGTTAAACGCACTGCGGGACGGTAGTGTAAATGAACAATGGGATCAGATTAGCAGAGCAATGCACTCCGCAGCGAAGATTGCTTGTGGATTGGAATTGGTAGCTCGCCCGAGGCATTGTATATCTGATCAGTCAGTAGCACTGATGAAGAAAAAGTGGCAAATCCGGACCACCCGGGATCAAGGCAGAGTTAGGTGGCGTCTGCAACATCAACTGAAGAAGCGCCTCAAGAAAGACCGTGAGAACTGGTGGGCAACGATAGATAGTGAAGGAAGTGGCAGCTGCATCAGGGAATAGTCAAAGACTGTTCCAGCTGATACGCAATACGGGAGGTTTGAGAACTACAGTTAGTGAAGCAATCTGCGACAAAAGTGGGCAGGCTATTCACAATAGGGAACAACGGCTTGACCGGTTGGCGGAGTACTTCAACGAACAGTTCAGCTGGCCAGGCGCTAACCAGGCTATCTCTTCCGGTGTAGCTGAGGCTCCGTAGGCAGTGTCATCTGAACCTCCTACTGCAGCAGAAGTTCGTTCTTGCATCCAAACCCTGAAGAAAGGAAAGCAGGACGGCCAGATAGGCTTCCTCCCACTCTTTTCAAGATGGGATGCGATGACCTTGTAGACTCTATTACTGATCTAATGCGCGACATCTGGTCACCCGAGCGCATTCTATCGTCGTAGAGCGAGTCACTGATCGTTCCATATTTTGAGAAAAGATCTCACAAGAACTGCTCAAACCACCGTGGAAGAAGTTCGTTCCCAATCGTCACGAAGTTACTAGCCTCGATTACACTTAGACGTCTGACGCCGTTTAGGGCGACAAACATCCGCGAACAACATGATTTCGACCAGGTCGCAGTTTTATCGACCAAATCTTCACCCTGCGTTAAGTCCTCGAGCTACGCCATACACATCGTCGATCAACGGTTGTCGTGCTCCTTGAACTAAAAGGAGCCATCGACTCAGTTAACCGTGAATCCCTTATGGGTTCGCTCCTTCACAAAGGAATGTCGAAGAAGTATGTGAACATACTTTTTTTACTCTACTTATATACCTCTGGTAGCGTAAGGGTCTATGGCGAGCTGAGCAGGTCGTTCGTATCTAAGATCAGTGTTCCTCAAGGGCGCTCTCTTTCGCCAATCCTGTTCAATTTCGTCATAGACGAAATACTGGAGAACACACTAAGTGGTCTCCAAAATATAGGTATTGAATGGGCAGCTAGCGAGGCTGTGCGATTTGGAGTACGCTGACGACATCGTCTGCTTGTTTGAATGTATGGAAAATGCACAAAGAGCACTTGACAGATCAGCAAGTTCTGTCGCTCCGTTTAGCATGTGCTTTGCACCTTCAAAGTGCAAAGTGATGCTACAATACTGGGTGTCACCGAAATCTGTTCTGAAACTAGACGGTCAGAAATTAGCTGAAGTTGACTGCTTCTCGTACTTAGTTAGCTGCGTGACCAACGACGGTAGCGCATCAAAGGAGATAAACGCCCGCATTTCCAAGGCTCGAGCAGTGTACGCAGGATGAACTACCTGTGGTGGCGACGTGACGTGTCACTGAAGTTGAAAAGTCGCGTATACCGAGCCACCGTATGATCAGTTCTACTTTACGGTTGTGAGACTTTGAATTTGCTGGAAGAAGACACCCGTCGTTTAGTAGTGTTCGACAACCGATGCTTATGTAGTCTGGCCCAGGATGGATGGAATGAGCGGGTTAGTAACTTAGAAGTAAGTCGTCGGGTGTTTGGGAATACATCAAACAAGAACTCGCTATCGCATCGAATTCAGCTCAATAGAATTCATTGGTTAGGACACGTTTTGTGTATGCCCGACGGTCGCCTGCCGCAGCGCACCTTGTTTGCACTGACTGTTACAGGCTGGAGAAAGGCACGTGGAGGCCAGCAGATGACTTGGAGACGAGGCATAAAGAAATGCACAGAGCGGTTACGTAGAGTAATTGTCTCTCGTCTTCCGGGTTGGGGTCCGAAAGACTCTGAAACCACATAGTTGGAGACACTGAAGGCAATGGCTACGAACCGACAGCAATGGCGAGCTTACTGTCATTTCTTATCGGACAAGAATGCTTGAAATAGCATAAATGCACATTTGAACTGTGTATTCTGTGTGTTGACCATAGAAGTTCGCTTCCTTTTCCCGTCCCTAAAAAATAGGTCCAATCCCTGTCATTCTTACACATTATCACTTACCTCGTATGTAATATGAGTTTGGCATGGATCAATGAAGTTCGTTTCACTGTATTACGCTGTACAATGATGATGATAATGACTATATTTCCCATTATATTTATTGTTGATGCGTTGTGTCTATGTGGTTGCTGAATATGCACCCCCTTCGGGGTGTATAAAATGATTCCTTCACTTAACCTGACTTGGAAAAACCTCACCCCAAACCGCGCACGACGCGAGAGTGACGTGAAGTGGTGTGTTTACTGAACACCACGATGAAAGGCATCGTGCTTTTAACTTACAGTTTCGCGGGTTGAGCCCTACCAGAGAATTCGAACCACCGGTTACAGCACAGCTTACCAGTGTTTTATTTTTCCCTATATTGCATAAAAGTTCCGTCGCATTTGATAAGCTTCTTCTTTTTCATTACTTCTCTTTTCCCATTTCTGCAACTAATGCGAAATTGCGTGAAATTTTGACCCATAAACGGGTATGCCCCAGCGTGTGTGAATACCTGTGATCTATGATCCATCCTGCTATTCGAGCGAAAGTCTGTTCTCTACCTGTTTAGTCACAATTGTCCTGTTCTTTGCCTGTCAACCAATGGATTGGGGTGTCGAATTAACTTTTCTCTGTGGAGTTTGCTCCACGTTACGACTCTTACATAGCCGTTTGGCTCATATGAACATCCCTTTTCTTCGGTGGGACACGACTGTTTGAGATATGCGAAAATACCCAACTCTGCTCAGTATTGCCCGCTTCACCCCATTCCCGCCTCAGTTTTAGCCGTAACCACAATTCGTGGTGGTCTAATGGGACAATCCGAATCGCTGACCTTCCGCTCCGGAAGGAACGGAAAGCCACCGGGAACGACAAACGAGACACATTAAATGACCATGGTTCTTTGGTCAAGTCATGAGTCATATAGACAGACAGAAAGACACACGAGCAAATTCTTTGTTATTATTGTTGTATTTTCGTCTAAAAACTCATCAGAGTCACCGAACGATAAGACACAAGGTGACCGGTTTGTTGTGGCGACAAATTTCATCCTTCGCAGTGACATATCAACCAAACACGGTTGTCGGACAGAACCGGCAAGAGCAGAGGTTAGTCAACGGTTGGCGAGCTATTGAACAGACCATATACGGTCATGCGTTAGTGGACAGGCCAAGCCAGCCCCCAGTCAATCCTGCTGCCTAGCCCAGCCCAGCCTTGTGTCCCGGCCGGAAAAACCCACTCCAGCAGTTTATCACGTGTGTGCACCATCATTGCAAACACTGACGTACGTGCGCGCGCGCGCGCGCACACACACACACACACACAGTTTATATGATCCTGTGTGATTCTGTGTTTTTGCCCCCCCCCCCTCCCCACCGGGGTTGGATTGGCCATATCACGCACCTCGGACATTCACACTCGGTCATGTGTCCGCCTGACGAAACCACTAACCAATCAAGGAATAGCGGATCTAAACTGACCAAATATGGCTAACCCCAGGCTTTAAAACCAGGACCGGACCGGTGCACAACAAGTTGCCTCGGTGGTACACGGTCAACAGTCTCGGCGGTCGCTTCATCCACATTCAGTTCAACTTACTCGACTAGCAAAATGGCAGACGACGAAGTTCAAGCGCTTGTGGTGGACAATGGGTCGGGTATGTGCAAAGCCGGTTTCGCCGGCGATGATGCACCTCGTGCTGTGTTCCCGTCCATCGTTGGTCGCCCACGTCACCAGGTGAGTAAAACTTCAATAAATTATTATTACAATCACGAACCGTTTTACTTGAAGTGATCAGTTGATGTCAAAGTATCTAATAGGAATTAATGCCATTGGTAGTTTATCATTACACAAGCGAACATTAAGTTATCGAATTCTGTGAGCTCACTTCGTACTCAATCTTGACCAATTCCAATGTACCGCTTTTCACATTTTCCAGGGTGTCATGGTTGGTATGGGTCAAAAAGACAGCTACGTCGGTGATGAAGCTCAATCCAAACGTGGTATCCTCACTTTGAAATACCCGATTGAGCACGGTATCGTGACTAACTGGGATGATATGGAAAAGATCTGGCATCACACTTTCTACAACGAGCTGCGTGTCGCCCCCGAGGAACACCCAGTTCTGCTCACTGAGGCCCCATTGAACCCGAAAGCAAATCGAGAAAAGATGACCCAAATCATGTTTGAGACCTTCAACACTCCAGCCATGTATGTCGGTATTCAAGCTGTTCTCTCGCTGTACGCCTCCGGTCGTACTACTGGTATTGTGTTGGACTCCGGAGATGGTGTGACCCATACAGTACCAATCTACGAGGGTTATGCTCTGCCTCATGCCATTTTGCGTCTGGACTTGGCCGGACGTGATCTGACTGACTACCTGATGAAGATTCTCACAGAGCGTGGTTACAGCTTCACCACGACGGCCGAGCGAGAAATCGTGCGTGACATCAAGGAGAAATTGTGCTATGTGGCTCTGGACTTCGAGCAAGAAATGGCCACCGCGGCTTCTAGCTCCTCGTTGGAGAAGAGCTACGAATTGCCTGATGGTCAGGTCATCACTATCGGAAACGAACGATTCCGTTGCCCTGAGGCTCTGTTCCAACCTAGCTTCCTGGGTATGGAATCTGCCGGTATCCATGAGACTACCTTCAACTCGATCATGAAATGCGATGTGGATATCCGTAAGGACTTGTACGCAAACAATGTGATGTCTGGCGGTACAACCATGTTCCCCGGCATTGCTGATCGTATGCAGAAGGAGATCACCGCGCTCGCTCCGAGCACCATGAAGATCAAAATTGTCGCGCCACCAGAGCGTAAATACTCGGTTTGGATTGGTGGTTCCATTCTTGCCTCGTTGTCCACGTTCCAACAGATGTGGATCTCCAAGCAAGAATACGATGAGTCTGGTCCGGGTATTGTGCATCGCAAATGCTTCTAGAGTGTGTTACAATTCAGATTTATGTCTTTCATTTTTTGAATGTAATTCATGCCTATTTATCTTTACAAAGGGTCTTTTTCTTCACTCTAAGGATGGGCCTGTAAACAGGTTATCAGTTAAAGTTATATTTAAGGCAAACTAAGTTACCTGTCGTCTCCTAACGATATCCTTCAGGTCTGCAAACACCCAAGACCTTAGTGTTGTGTGATAGAAATAACACTAGACAAGGAAAATTGCGGTAGAGTTGACAAACACCGAACTTGGTACGGATACATACTCCTTACCAATGCTCCGGATGATGAAGTCCACGTTCATTGGCTTTAGAGTAGGATTCAACAGCAGTTGTAGTCCACATTGTTGAAACTCACTCACTTATCGAAGGACAAAACTGGGATCCTAAGGTTGAACCCATCGCTCCCTGTTGACTTGGAAGGAACATCTCATAAGGACAATACGACGCAATGATGAAAGCATTTTGTGCAACCTATGAAACGCTTCTAGACATACGAGAAAGGGTGGATAATACATTTTTTAAATCAGAAGCTTGATTCCTAAGCTACAAAATCTCGTCGGCTTCCTTACAACCCAAGTTACCGACAATTCAAATATTAATTGACGTAAACAGATGTGTAAGTTGAATGAGGAATACTATCCCTTGCCTCTTCGTGTACAGATGCAATACTGACACTAAGCTGATGGTACCAAATTGGACTTTGCACACACACACAGTAGTGAAATCGGGGATGTTCTGTTCAGCTCAGTTTGCACAAGCCACGAAAAATCGAGCGTCCAGAGTTCTTTCCCTTGTAAGCCCACGTGATGGCCCCTACCACAGCGATTGTACTTTATTGGAGGTTCTTCATAGTTTCCGCTCTTCCCAGTCTTCTCCGCCGTTACAAGGGAACGAGAAAGAAAAAAAGGAAATCTGCCCTTCTTCAGACAAGAGAATTCATGTTTGAAAGGGGTGTTCAGCAAAATGAGAAACCCCACTGTTGTCAGAACTAATCCTACGAGTTTATTTCGAAAGAGAAATCGAACCAGCCCTCCTAAGTTCGATCAGTTCTGGTGGTAACTTCTTCCATGAATTGACTACCCTGTTGCTGATCTAGTATGCAGGACCGATCCCAGACATGAATCAACTCGAAATACACTGACAGATTGATTCCGGGCAACACAGTCCGAGTTCTTATACAACTAGTGTCTTCACAAAAGGCAGCACTCAATACCTGGCCACTAACCGATGCTCTCAATACACAGGTAGGACACACTTCTCATAGTAGGTTCTCCGTGGAGAGGGCTTCCAAACAACCTGCAAGACAGGGAAAATACAGAAAGTGACCATGAACAAAAAGGTCAAGTGAGACAGGCACATGACTCACAATCAAATCAAAATGGCTGCACCCTTGTCTTCACTACACAGAATAAGTTCAAACGCACCGCTAATCCCGCGCGCACTTTGTTGAGCGTATACATGTGCCCCTCTCCCCCGGGGGGTGGGGGGAGTTCACAACCTTTCAACGAGCACCCCGATCAATTTCAGAGGGGTTGTTCATACTTTTGGCACGCAGTACTATGGCTAGATGCATTGCATGCGGCATTGAATTGGATAGCAAGAAGAGCCTGGTTCGCTTGTGACAGGATCTGCTGTTTTCTATTATTCAATCGATTTTGAGTGATTGAATCAAAGATTTGACGAGAAAACGGAATAGCGTTTTATTGCACAATTTATTTCCAGGAAGATTTCACTGCATCTTCTCAGGTACATACACACCACTGTCGAAAAATATAACGAAACCTAACAAGTTGGCGCTGGTGTTAAATTTGTCCCAGTCGGGACTAGAACTGTTTTAGCATATACAGTTCAAGTTTCCATCGTTTTATGGCAATTGCCCCTGTGAACTGGAGTAATCGAGATTGTTGCCTGAAGAAAAAAGCACTTTTGACTACCGGGGTTATATGTATTTGATGTCCAGTTTCAAAAATGTGATCGATGACACTGATGCGTGATATTGCGGTGACCTTTGACCTCTGTCACTCGTGTGTGGTTCATTCACCACCGGTGTATAACCTCTAATCCATCGCGAGCTCGTTGCGGGCCACAGACCCTGCTCAACTCAGCACTAGCCTTCAGGGTTATGACTCGGTTGGAAACTTACACAACCTGACTACATCGTGCAAATGGAAAATGAAAAACGGTCTGATTAGCTGCCCGTTGGTCGCGTGGGTAGCATCCTTGCGTTCTGCCCATGAAGTCACGGGTTCGATCCCCAGTTGGATCGATGGATTCGCAATGTTGATGAGACACAACCAGGTCGAAACAGCTGTCCAGTGCTTCAGTTCACGCTTCATTTGCTATAAACACGACAAATTCATCTGTAAAATATATCAGTATGTTAAGTTGGTAAGAAGACAGTCGACAGCATCACTTAATAGCTCGGGTGTACTTGAAGGTGCTGTCCTATCACCTTTTTTCTTTTCGACTTATATCAGTGAAGTACCTATTATTCCCCCCGGTTGGTCATTTCAAGTATGCTGATGATATCACCATTTCTGCTCCCGTATCTAATCCAATCAGAACTGGTTGAATATAACACAAACCTATCCTACCTCGTTTCATATTCCACTGCATCCGGTCTTAATCTTAATCCTGAACAATGCCTTGAATGTATTTTAACTCTAAACCGTTCCTCATCTCCCTCCGATAATGTACAGATTCATGGAAAGTCGACGAACAGGGTCAGTAATGTGAAGTACTTAACTGTCACACTTGAAAGTAACGTTCGCTGGTCATTACATACCCAAACTGTTGCTCGCAAGCTGAAACTTCTCTCCTTTCGGATAAGAAGATTGAGTTACTTATGTCCTGACTTATCGGCGATATACGCTTTCGTTCAACCATTTGTCCTCCCCATACTCCTTTACTGTTCCTCTGTAATTTTCCCTGCTCTGCTGGAAACTGATTTCAAGTTGCTGAGGCGTGGCCTCTCAAGGATCAGCCGTGTCTCTCAAGTTTCGTTATCTGTTCTGATTGTATGTTCGTATGTGTAATGCGCATATTGATGCGTGCTTGAAGTTTACTGACAATATCCTATCTGATTGCACCCATCCTCTACACATTGACCCGTGTGCATGTAAATCCCAACACTTTTCCACCCGTTCCAAATACAAACTTATCCCATCTCGAATATCCGTATACAGAAACTCTTTGGTACCCGATCTTGCCCGGATACTGACCGACAAGAAAAGTTTTCGTTCTGAGCTTTCTAATTCACTCAGTAACTTACTCATATTTTTGTTCGTTTCACATCGCACGTTTGCACCTCTTTTTACCTGAATTTTAACGGTGGCCATTTTTTTGGCTGAAAGCTTTATATATAACTCGCTAAAGCTTGAATACAACACAATGCAATGCAATACAATAGGTGAGTGGCTAAGCCCCCGAAGACGATTTTCTCACAAGTGATGTGAGTTGGTCCACGGCGAAAATGGTTGTTTGGCTGGAGGACTGGTCTTCTGTCGCAAATGTGGATGAAAACTGGAATGATTGTGTTGGATGTTCGTTTGATAGACGAGCTTAGACGGTGCTCTTACAAGTTACTCCTCACTCTGGAACGGCAGTTGTAGGACTAATTCACGGTTTGCTTTCGGCCGTCCTAACGTTGGGAGTGCAATAATGTACGTTTTCAGTTACGAACTCGGGTAATCAGTCCCGTAGCGTTTCATTCAATTTTTCCGCACTGTCATAAAGTGTCCTCACCGGCCCCATCGTTTGTAATGGATGCATGAATCGACCAAGGCTTCCGTCGGTCATCCGTTACATGTTACATTGAGGATGCGCAAGCATTGATTTAGTTTATGTTCCATGGTTAGCTTCATAACTACAACTGCAACTTGTTAGGTTTCATCATATTTTTCCACTGCCGTATGTGCCTGAATAGACGAGGTGAGAAATTTTCCCGGAAATAAATTACGTTGCATTGTAATCTATTCAAAACTTCATTCAGATCGAGAAAAAGATTTTTCAACTTGGTTGAAAATAGTTTGGGATTTCCAGGAAGCACCAAGAAGTTCAGACAGTGATGATGGAATTCAGGCACTCCAGAATCGATCAGATGTAATGTTAATTTGAGCACCGCAATTCATACGATGAACATGGAGAGTTTCAAACTTCTAACTTATCGGTCTCCCGCGGTGAAATTAACCCGGACAAAGATGATCAGTTTGACCTCAACGAACCCCTCCCCCATCCCCCGCGAAACCTTAGACAATAATTTCAAGGAACTGTACTACAAAATTCCCAAAGAACAGGCGGGGGCCGGTCTCTAGTTCGGTTTCATCCCGCACATTAACTCGTGCCATTATATTTTGCAGGAAATTAGAGTGAAGAGTGCATGCCAAAAAATCAAAGTGCAAAGATCTTAAGAACAAAGAAATCCCGGATCAAGGCGTCTAAACCAAAGGAGGTAAATCTTCTTGGGTTAGCCAAAACCCTGATCTCCGACACAGCGATCCCGAGGGGTTGGAAACCACTGAATCGGATCATGTGCCTTTCGGACTGAGTCAAACGTCCAATCAAGCCGGTGAACACTTCCACAAACAGAAAACACTGTAGCGAATAAAGCTTGTTTTCGATAACTTCCTCCTGGAACCAATACAGTTATATATAGGGTTCAAAAGTGTCAAATTAATGTATTGGTCAGATGTGATGAATATGATTGGTTGAGTGGGATCTTGTGATGTGTGGTTTGGAAGTGAGGGGGCAGTTTTTTGTTTTTGTGTAGTTCTGAAATGTTCACAGTCGGTGGATAGAGTGAACCGTTCCATTTCCGGTCTGCGTCCCTGGGTCATGACCAAGGTCATGGTTGTTTTGATCAGCTGTGTCAGGTTGAGGCCAGGGTAAGCGAAGTGACTGACTGAATTGAGAACAAAGGGACGGATTGAGTAAGTGAATAGCCACCGCCTCGACTGTAGCAAGGTGTCTTTGACGAACAGCTTTTGAT